GGCACATATCATTAAGCACGTTACTCTGTTGGAAAGAGAATATTGCAATGCCATTGATGCGTGTGAGGAAATTCATGAAAACGCGAAACAAAAAGCGGCCGAAATGATTCTTCAATCACTGACTGAAATAACTTCAGTATATAAAGCAGCGGCGCTAATGCAATAGTCAAAGATAAAAGGCAGCAACGCCCGTCAATGCAAAACGGTGCACGTAAACAAAAGAGCAATGACGGAGCACGAGCTTTTCCGTATACAAATGGAACAGGTCAAACTCGATGAAAGGCGGAAAAATACCACCGCACGTACGAATCAAATTGACCAAATGCTACGAACCATAGATGATAAGATTATGCAAGAAGACGCTTAAAAAGAGATCAGGCAAAAAAGGGACAAAGAGCGCAGGACACGGGAAAAATTGATTGCTGAGGAGACCGTGATGGAGGAAGGTATACCGCTGACCAAAGAATATCTCGTTTTCGGATCGTTCCTCTGATAATCAACCGCTCATCGTTGGTCAAAAAAGTAGGCCTAGAAAATATCTTTTCTGTGGGTATGCTGTTGGGACAACCACTGAGAAGGAAGCCGTTGTAGCTACCCATACTCCTCAGAGCCATCTCGCCTGGCTTACATTTGTAGTAAAAAATTCTCTAACGGCACCAGGCTGGATGGTAACGGTCACATAACTCTGATATGTTGTGCTCTGACTAGACACGTCACTTGGTATTCCACCGTAGACATTATCGGTTGGAATAATTTTTTATTGATTGCACTCGTCAATCCTGGAGGTTCAGGGTGGAAGTAGACCTAGGTCACTTGTCCATCGGAGAAGAGTGTCGACGGTAACCAGGATACTCAGCGGCATGACTGTCATCTACATTCTCGATGCAGCTCGACGAACTACCGGTACATGACTGCAGTAATTTTTAAAAACGCTCCAGCTTATTATAACCACACTTATTTAATTCTGTTGCAGGTAGCTTCTATTTTAAGTTGACACCACCTAGTAGATCCTACTGAGCTAAAGTGAAAAGCTGACGAATTTTTCCAAAACTTTGAGCTTATTTATTACTATTGTTATTAAATTTTTTAAGATAAAAAATATACTAAAATCATTAAGAAAGTGTCAAGAATTGGTATGCAAAATTTCAGCAAAATCGGTTGTGTAGTTTTCGCAGTTCGCAATTACAACGGTTTTAGTGATTTTGCTTTATATATTAGTAAGACTGTAGTGTATGTGATCCTGCGTATATGTTAGCCTCGCTTTGAACGCTTTGCTATATATATATATATGTATTACAGCGCCTGAAATAAAGCCAGTCTATCCTCACAGCTCCTTGAGTGTACACGTCAATTATTGAACCCTGCCTCACATATAATACAAAGACAATATATAAATAAAAATACCTTCTATGAAATAATATTTTAAATAACCCACTGTGGTATGTCAAAAAGGGTGCAGTACCGTTTGAATAAGGATATTCCGTACTTGGATGTGATTTTAATAAATAATATAATATTTGATAAATGATTAATTGTGAAAAATATATATTGTAAATTGAAAATATTAAATCAAAGCCATGGTATAACGTGCTGCTAGGCTATCAAGCAGAAGACTATGTGTTTTTTTCAAATCTTTCGATGATTTAAGAACAATCCTTTTGCTGCCACTGATTACATCTTAAACGTTACAATCTCATCTGTCACATAAACTTACACACTTACTTCTAGCTGCTTATTTAATACCCACAAAATATTTGTTTTTAAAAGGCTTATAAAAAATCATTATGTGGTACCACTTTATCTTTAATAAGGTAGTTTTACATGTGAGTAATTGCCGTTTAAGGAAGTTCATCGCACAAAGGTTTATTCGTTGGATACAACTTAAACATCAAACGTCTTTTCAAAATATCATAAGGAATAACAAAAAAAGTTGAAGACTATTTAACTGTACCGTTCTTATAGCATGTCACTATACACGGCTCATCTTACTAATATGTAAGTCAATGTTGCTAAAACCGTTGTAATCGCTAACCCCAAAAACTACTGAACCAATTTTCCTAAAATTTTGCATATTGATTCTTGATGATTCCGAGATGGTTTTTGCATAGTTTTTTTCTTAAAACATTTAGTAACAAATAAGCTCAAAGTTTTGCAAAAATAAGCTAGCTTTGTGCTGTAGTTTAGAAGGATCCGCTTGGTAGCATCCAGGTAACATTGACGCCACCCGCAATCAAAAATAGTGAAAAGTGGTTATAAGATGCCCCATCGAGTTGACGATCATCGTAGTCGATCATCGGCACTACACCAAGAATGAAGTAGTCCGTCATGCAGCTGTACATTCCAGCTACCAATGATACTCTTCTTTTATGAGCAAGCAAAATAAATCAGGTTTCACCCCAGATCACCAGAATAACGGGTCGCCACGGAAAAATAGGCGCTCGAAACGTCAACGTCTCCGGTGGAATTACTAGGAGACGTGTCTAGCCAGAGCACAACTTGTTTCAGCACTTCAGAGCTTTGTGGCCATTCCATGATCCAACCTGGTGCCAATAGAAAATTTTCTAATTTAAATGCAAGCCAGGGAAGACAGCTCTGAAGAGTACGGGCAGTCACAACGGCCTCCTTCTTAGTGGTCGTCCCGACGGCATACCTACAAAGAAGGTATTCTACAAGCCCACTTTCCTGACTAATGATGAACGGTTGGTTATTCGGGGAACGACCTAAAGACGAGATATTCTTTGGTCAGCATCGTATCTTCCTCCATCACGATCTCCGTACAAAAAGACTCAAAGGATAAGAGTCAAGCCACCCGTAGCTGGCTCTCTATGATTAAGAATAATAATAAGGAACAGCTGTGAGTTTTACCACTGGCACTTTTGAGGGCCATTATAAGTATTTATGTTCTCTACTTAACCATTAATATCATCGGTTTTTTTAAGGGCCACCTAAGTTTAAATAACCTTGCCAACAAATACATTTTAACTACGATTGCCAGATACGATCCATTAACTAAAAGACTACGTGAAGCCAGCCACTATTAAACCAAGTCAGTCATTCACTGACAGACGTCATAAGTGGAATTGTTCGTCGCAAGTCTGGGAACCGCGGTGACCGACGATCCTATATTATCCTCTTGACTCTAAGCATTCAACTAGAAATCACTGATCCTCTCCAAGGTCTGTGCTGGTCGAATCTCACAGCTGTAAAGAAAAAATAATAAGCGTGAGCCAACGGGACAGTTTTCAACGGGCAAGCATCACGAACCAACCTCTCCACTTAAGAGCACCAAAACAACTGAGTCTTCAAAAAAACAGGTGCTTTAGACACCAACGTCTTCGACGTTATACCAGGAGACGTTAAAAAATAGCTCTACAACTACCTCCAAAGCTTCAAACGTTGTAGTTCTCTTTCTGATCAGTGTGTTGCTGCAATAACAGGCCAGAGAAGATCACCCTGAGGTATAGAGGCAATCACGTTTGCTGGAAACTTTAGTCAAGAAAGACTTTACTTAAGAAGCTCACTGGTCGTTTTCAGGGTCATTCATCGTCAAACTACCTTGCTAAAAAATATTTTACAACCTTATATTGTTGAAAAAAATTGCTTTTTGGACTTACAAGAGTCGTTACTATGCCAAAAGTCACAAGAAGTCGAATTGGAAGGAAAACTTCAAATGCATCTTATGAATACAATTTTAGGCGTCAAACAAATAACGAAAGAATTTATTAAGTAAGAGATCAGATTTTTACTATAATCACATAGTAATTTCTTAAATCTTCCAGATTTTTTAAAAGAGTAGAGTAGAATATGTATTTTTGTTTCGATAAAAAACGTAGAGATTTAGCTCCAGGACTTTGTTGCTCTGGTTTAAAGTTGTAAGATAAGAGAACAAATTTCTTTAATTATATATTTTTGTGAGCTTTGTATTTGTACAGCTTTAGAAAATAACCCTGTTTATAAGTTATACGGAAGAAACTGCAAAGCAACGGCCTTTTATGGCCAACGATTATTTTAAGGCATAAGAAATGAACGGTACTTTTAATCTTAATTATATTTTTTTTCACTTTTTACAGGTTTTTCCTCGACTAAATAAACTGTATGCATTCCGAACAAATATGATTGTTATAAAAAGATTTTTGTGCTGATAAGTATCAGAAATAGATTTATAATTTTGAACTGAAAACATTTCATATTACATGTCAACACACTACGGTGTTCCATTTAGTAGGTCTTGGGCGAAGCCGAGACGGTGGCACTCCTTGTGTAAAACTATAGCAGAGACAAAATAAAGTCTTGTAACACTTTTTTGATCAATTTTCCATTCGCTTAAGTGTCCTAACTTTTAATGCGAGAAAAGGAACACCGCGTCAAAAACCTACAAAAAATGTTTAGTTAACTTTGTTTATGTTTATATAAAAATAACAGAAAATTTTCGTAAAAAATTCAAAAGATAGTACTTTAAACATTTAAGAAGTATGGAACTTATTGCCTTAACTCAATTTTTAGTCGAATTTAGGTGACTTTACGTAAGTAAGTACTGCATGGATCCAAGGGAAGCCTTAATTTTTTTGTAAAAGATTAAAATGAACAAAAAATTTCTCAAAAATTTGCTACATTGCAAAATGGCAAAAACTTTTCAATCACATTTAGCTAAGGCAGTAACTTAACTTTTACGTTGTACTTACTTAATTTATTTAGTAGCGATTGTGTACCATTGCCCAAACCATTCGATAAACGTAAGTTTCTTATTAATATTACTACTTTTTTAATAATAAGAAAAGAAATTATAAGGTTATAATATTCACCAGTGTTACTAATTATCTTAAAAACTTTTATCTGAAGTAAATAGTGTATATTAAATGAATATTTTCATTATACAAAGCTGATTTTTTATTGATAAGTTATTGTTTCAATAACTCGTAAGTGGAGATTTAGCTTGTAAATAGTAGTATGGGTACATACATATGTTAAAAAAAGCTCTACTGCTATTACTACTGTTACAGACGTTATCAAAAAAAGTCGCCAACGCCAAGCGGTGGAGGTGGTAGTACTAGTAGGACGGGTTGGCGAACACGTAGAAGCGTTACCACAGCTGGTCCAACAGTACATTGTCACCACGTAATCGCTACAGCTGTTGCTACGGCGCAGTCAAAGATGCAGGCTGAGCAGGGGAGCATAGGAGAGCTAAGGGGTTATCACAACCTCAGGTCCCGAAGGCACACCCTGGCTAATGTTCGGTGAGTCTTCTCATTACATTCTAGAATGTCAAGTTTTCTTTTTTCTATGTATTTATTATTTTTCTATACTAATAACTACTAATTCTTAACATCACTCTATTACAGAACTAGAACTCTCACAAATTAAAAAACTCCAGACAATATTTATAAAAGCTGAATTCTATAGCAATTATGACAAAAACAGAATTTTCATTTATAAACTCTTATTTTTAAGATGAAAAAATCGAAATTTCGAACATTTCATGCTTAAGTAATATAAATATTATTTACGATATGCAAGGAAAAAATATCTTATTCAAGTGCCACAATTGCGCTACGCAGGCGAGTTTTAAAAGTCCCCCATGGCGACCACGTACACTACTGACATCTAAGTTGGGATTCAAAGTTTTGTAATTAATAGAAATGAATATTTGATACAGTATTTAATCAGAATTTTTTAGAAAAATGATGGTTTTTATGCTAAATAAGGATTTTCAGCGAAAAAAATGCCAATAACATACGTAAACTGTGAGGAACAAGAGGTTCATTTGAATAAAGTTCTTATGTAGCCTTTTTCAGTTTCCCTTAGTATGAGTGGCTAGACTGTGAATGTAGCCACGTATAAATTAGCAGTATACAATGTATATATATATATACAGGGATATTCTTAAGCACTTGAGAACCGGGGACCAGCGTGTGTATCAGCTTCCTCTGAGTCAAAATCCGTTTACAGAATAATTTTTTAACAATTATTCATTAAGTAAATAAATTTACAAAAGTGCTCAATTTCAGCGTGCTTAAAACGCCAATTTCAATGGCGCAGGCTGCCATAAAGTGCAGTGTCATGGATCGCAACAACATAGCAACAAACCTCTAGGTCGGTAAACAAAGTCTGAATAGATCCCCTAGCGGGCAGAAGATGGCGCTCAAATGTAATTATAATAGTAAAAACGTGTAGCTATAAAATTATTAGAAGGAGATGAAGGGATAAGTAACAGTAACGTAAAAACAAATAAATAAGCGTACGAAAAGGTTATTTAGTTAACCCGAGATATTATTGTGAGATCATTCTACATACGATGAAATTGACAATGACAATAAAGATAGTGATGATAATGATAAAGNTAAAGTAGATAATATAAGTAATGATCACAATATTATTAATAATAACGATAATGTTTATGATAATAATAGCATCAATAATAATTATTGTGCTAATATCATTGATGATCATACTTATTATCATAATCATTTATTTAATTTTGATAATAATAATGAAAGTAATATTCATGATCATGATAGTAATGATGATGATGATGATGATGATGATAATTATGTTGATGATGATGATGATGATGAAGATGATGATGATGATGATGATGATGATGATGATGATGATGATGATACTGATGATGACGATGATGATGATGATAATGGTAGAAATGATAATTTTAATCATAATACTACTGATATTAATATTTGTAATGATTTTGATAGCATTGATGACAAGAATAATTATCAAGATGATAATGATGATGATGAGAATAATAATAACATTTATAATAATAATAAAGACGAATGTTTAACTAAAGCGGCTATCAGGTGGAACTTGGGCCACACTTGGGTAGTATTTGAGCAGTGGCACTTGGGCGGTACTTGGACGGCACTTGAGCGGCACTTGGGCAGAATTTGAGCAGCGGCACTAGGGTGGTACTTTGGCTGTAATTTGTCGGCACTTGGGCAGAATAAGAGCAGCGGTACTTTAGCTGCACTTGGGCCGTACTTTGGCGGTACTTTGTCGAAACTAAGGCAGAATGTGAGCAGCGGCACTTGGGCAGTACTTGGGCGGCACTAGGGCGGTACTTGGGCGGTACTTGGGCAAAATTTGAGCAGCGGCACTTGGGCGGCACTTGGGCCGTACTTTGGAGATACTTGGGCAGAATGTGAAAAGCGGCCCTTGGGCTGTACTTGAGCAGAATTTGAGCAGCGGCACTTGAGCGGCACTTGGGCGGCACTTGGGTGGTACTATGGCTGTAGTTTGTTGGCACATGGGCAGAATGTGAAAAGCGGCCCTTGGGCGGTACTTAAGCAGAATTTGAGCAGCGGCACTTTGGCGGCACTTGGGCGGTACTTGGGCGGCACTTGGGCTGTACTTTGGCAGTACTTAGGTAGAATGTGAAAAGCGTCACTTGGGCTGTACTTGGGCAGAATTTGAGCAGCGGCACTTGGGTGGCATTTGGGCGGTACTTGGGCGGCACTTGGGCCGTACTTAGGCAGAATGTAAAAAGTGGCCCTTGGGCGGTACTTGGGCGGTACTTGGGCGGCACTTGGGCTGTACTTTGGCAGTACTTAGGCAGAATGTGAAAAGCGTCACTTGGGCAGAATTTGAGCAGCGGAACTTGGGCGGCACTTAGGTAATACTTGGGCGGCACTTGGGCCATACTTTGGCAGTACTTGGGCCGAATGTAAAAAGCCCAAATACCGCCAAAGTATGGCTTGCCAAGTACCGCCCAAGTGCCGCCCAAGTGCCGCTGCACAAATTTTGCCGTAGTACCGTCAAGTGCCGCTTTTTACATTCTGCCCAAGTACCTCCAAAGTACGGCCCAAGTGCCGCCCATGTGCCGCTGCTCAAATTCAGCCCAAGTACCGACCAAGTACTGCCCAAGGGCTGCTTTTCACGTTCTGCCCAAGTACTGCCAAAGTACGGCCCAAGTGCCACTCAAGTACCGCCCAACTGCCACTTAAGTGCCGCTGCTCAAATTCTGCCCAAGTACCGCCCAAGTACCGTCCGAGGGCCGCTTTTCACATTCTGCCTGAGTACTGCCAAAGTACGGCCCAAGTGCCGCCCAAGTACCGCCCAAATGCCGCCCAAGTGCCGCTGCTCAAATTCTGCTCAAGTACCGCCCAAGTGCCGCTTCTCACATTCTGCCTAAGTACCGCCAAAGTACGGCCCAAGTGCCGTCCAAGTACTGCCCAAGTGCCGCTGCTCACATTCTGCCCAAGTACGGACAAACTACAGCCATAGTACCGCCTTAATATCGCCCAAGTGCCGCTTTTCACATTCTGCCCAAGTACCTTCAAAGTACGGATTAAGTGCCGCCTAAGTACCGTGCAAGTGCTGCCAAAGTGCCGCTGCTCAAATTTTACCCAAGTACCGCCCAAGGGCCGCTTTTCACATTCTGCCCAAGTACCGCCAAAGTACGGCCCAAGTGCCGCCCAAGTGCCGCCCAAGTGCCGCTTTTCACATTCTGCCCAAGTACCGCCAAAGTACGGCCCAAGTGCCGTCCAAGTTCCGCCCAAGTGCTGTCCAAGTACCGCCCAAGCGCCACTGCTCAAATACTACCCAAGTGTGGCCCAAGTTTCACCTGATAGCCGCTTAAGTTAAACATTCGTCTTTATTATTATTATTATTGTTGTTAACAATTGCATCTTCTTCCTTATATTATATAGGTTATCATGTTTATTATCTTCATCATAATTATCATCATCTTCATCGTCATTGTCAATTTCATCGTTTGTAGAATGATCTCACAATAATATCTCCAGTTAACTAAATAACCTTTTCGTACGCTTATTTATTTGTTCTTAAGTTACTGATACTCAGCCCTTCATCTCCTTCTAATAGTTTTATAGCTACACGTTTTTACTATTTTAATCACATTTGAGCGCCATCTCCTGCCCGCTAGGGGATCTATTCAGACTTTGTTTACCGACCTAGAGGTTTGTTGCTATGTTGTTGCGATCCATGACACTGCACTTTATGGCAGCCTGCTCCATTGAAATTGGCGTTCTGAACACGCTGAAATCGAGCACTTTTGTAAATCCATTCACTTAATGAATAATTGTTAAAAAATTTATCTGTAAGCGGATTTTGTCGATGAAGGCAACTATATTTTAGATAACAGACGAATGAATGTGTTAAAAAAAATACGAAACTCATTATTCGCCTCTGGTGAAATAATATTTTGGTACATACATTGTGGTATGTCAAAAAGGGTGCAGTACCGTTTGAATAAGGATATTCCGTACTTGGATGTGATTTTAATAAATAATATAATATTTGATAAATGATTAATTGTGAAAAATATATATTGTAAATTGAAAATATTAAATCAAAGCCATGGTATAACGTGCTGCTAGGCTATCAAGCAGAAGACTATGTGTTTTTTTCAAATCTTTCGATGATTTAAGAACAATCCTTTTGCTGCCACTGATTACATCTTAAACGTTACAATCTCATCTGTCACATAAACTTACACACTTACTTCTAGCTGCTTATTTAATACCCACAAAATATTTGTTTTTAAAAGGCTTATAAAAAATCATTATGTGGTACCACTTTATCTTTAATAAGGTAGTTTTACATGTGAGTAATTGCCGTTTAAGGAAGTTCATCGCACAAAGGTTTATTCGTTGGATACAACTTAAACATCAAACGTCTTTTCAAAATATCATAAGGAATAACAAAAAAAGTTGAAGACTATTTAACTGTACCGTTCTTATAGCATGTCACTATACACGGCTCATCTTACTAATATGTAAGTCAATGTTGCTAAAACCGTTGTAATCGCTAACCCCAAAAACTACTGAACCAATTTTCCTAAAATTTTGCATATTGATTCTTGATGATTCCGAGATGGTTTTCGCANATTTTTGAAAATTTAAAAATTGTGAAGATAAAAAAAAACTTTTGATATTTTAATGTTTTTGATTTAAAAACGACTGGCATACTGTGATGATATTATTTTGTACATGTACTCAAAAATGCGAGTATTTGAAACGAATAGATTAGGAAATGTGGCTGAACCTAATTAAAAAACAGCTGTTTATTTGTAGCCTACATTTTTTAGGTAGTGATTATTTCATATGTAAGTAGTTTGTTGTTTTCTCACTGAAACTTTTAGAAATAGTGACATGAACTAGAATTTTTGTTTAATCATTGATTTCTTTTATATTTTAATGGCATTTTATAGCGGTTTCAAGAAAACATCAAAAAGAACTAGTCAGAAGAAATGCAATTCCTCCTTATTAACATCAGTGCAAGTATATTTTTCTATCAATTATTTTTGTGTTCTATAGAACATAAATATACATAAAGAATTTCTTAACTTAAAATATTCTGAAACATACTTTACTTACATATATATA